TTCCATTGTATCAATTCTTTCTTGTTCTGCGCCATGAGCCCTCTGCCAACTGCCTATGAAACATTTTGCAACCTGAGAAGGGCCCTGGTACCTGATAACCATGTAACTTTCAGGAAGATGCAAATTGTGATAAATAGGAGTCATAAAACGAACAAGGGTGTTTTCATTCATTGGAATCTGAAACAGAAACTGGAAATCAAGGTTCAGGCCAAGTTCCCCTTCTCCTTGTCTCTGCTTTATGTTAAAAGGAACAATGGGTGGGGCAGCAAGCAGATGTGAGCAGAAGCCAGAAGAGAAAAGGAGAATAACTGGTCAGACAGCTACTCTTTCTCGAGACACAAATAGCATTTTAGGAAAGGAAAATGCTCCGTAGGTTACCAGAAATTACACAAGGAACGTAAGGCAGAAAGAAGAACTGAGGCCAAACAGTAGCCCCTTGTTTCATCTTATTTTCCACACCTGTGAAATAGGGGCTCTAACCCTCCCTCTTCTCTCTGTGCTGGTTCTGAGGCCCCCAGTGTGCTACCCCCGGTGTGATTCAGAAAAGGCTACAAATACAGGATGAAAACCACCCGTTTAATTTAGCACTTGCCTGCATCCCTGGGGATTAATTAAAATTGGACAGTGAGCCTAAAACATTGCCCACATCCCTGCTTACCCCCTTTCTTGCTGCTCCCACAGAAGTTGTTAAACTGATGGGTCATTGTCCTGAAATGCAAATGGGCCAAAGAGGGAGTCCAAGTTCAACTCCCTAAAACCCAGGGATGTAAAGACAGGAGTGCAGCATAGGGGTCACCTTCTCTCTGTCAGTGTCCCCTTTCTCACTGTATGAGTGGGAAAACTCCACCTCCTTCCTCTTAGGGTCCCAGCTGGTTCCAAGAATTAAATTGACATAATATAGATTACCAGGAGAAAGCATGCAAATTTATTTACAAATGTTTTATGTAGCATGGGAGCCCCTGTAAAGAAATGAAGACTCAAAGATGCAGACTCAGTTACTTATACAGCAGATTGAACAAAGA